ATGCAAAGATTCTAGACATCTAGCTTGCGAGTTCTACCACCTTCCTGGATAATGCCGTCAACCTCATAAAAAATCTTTTTTTTTTCTTTTCAAAATTTATTGAATTGGCAAGACACAATAAGCGATTGATACTTCCACACTAATAGAATTTTAAGATTATACCTCTAACAATCAGACTCCATACTCATTAAACATTAAAGACTTCGGCAAAATAAATTAGTTAACCATGAACCTTCCTTTCGGCGCTAGCTCGCCTATCTTTTTTAAAAAAAATAAACTTGTTCCTATTACGGTTAGGCCTGTTGCAGTTACCGCCAATTTTGAGCAAGTATAACCTCCAAAAACGAGAAGTCCTGATTCGAAAAGCTAGTTTCTAATAAACCGAGAGATTATATGATAATACACCCACAGCACATAATTATGAACCTACAGCATATAATAATGAAACCACAGCATATAATAAAAGAACCACAGCATATAATTATGAACTCACAGCATATAATTATGAAACCACAGCATATAATAATGAAACCACAGAATATAATAATGAACCCACAGCATATAATAATAGATCCAAAGCATATAATTATGAATCCACAGCATATAATAATGAACCCACAGCATATAATAACGAAACCACAGCATATAATAATAGATCCACAGCATATAATAATAGACCCACAGCATATAATTATAAACCCACAGCATATAATAATGGATCCACAGCATATAATTATAGAACCACAGCAAATAATAAAAGACCCACAGCATATAATTACAAACCCACAGCATATAATAATAGACCCACAGCATATAATTATAGAACCACAGCATATAATTATAAACCCACCGCATATAATAATAGACCCACAGCATATAATAATAGACCCACAGCATATAATAATAGAGCCACAGCATATAATTATAAACCCACAGCATATAATTATAGAACCACAGCATATAATTAAAGACCCACAGCATATAATTACGAACCCACAGCATATAATTACAAACCCACAGCATATAATAAAGTCAGCTAACATAAGGCAGCCATGGCGTTCCACACAACAGTGTGTGCAAACAAATTTTTAAAACACGCAGTTGTAAGACCATATATTTAAAAAAAATAATGATTCACTGCTTAATTACAAAAGCACAACAGAAAAAAATTATTTTATCGTATTTGTTAAAAATATGAGAGAGAGAGAGAGAGAGAGAGAGAGAGAGAGAGAGAGAGAGAGAGAGAGAGAGAGAGAGAGGGAGGGGAATTTATTTAAACAGAATAGAACATCTTGGAATCACTGATTGAAATAAATTTTGAAGTGAATTTGAAGTAATAAAAACGATAAATTAGGGGCGGAAAAAGAAAAACTGTTATCCTCTCTCAAGTCTAAATCATTTTAAATTGGGAACCTTATAATTGTAAAATAATGAATTGATAGACAAACATCATACCACGCCACTAGCTAGTCGGCATACTTGCAATAGATAATTCCAATACAATATAGTTCTTCCTCATTGTCAAAATTCCAGCAGGAGTGTACGTGTATCACATCACAGGATTCACGGAACTCCTGATAATACTGTTTATATTAAACGTTTGTTTGGGAATAAACAACCAGCCAGGTTGTGATTAAGCGTGCTTATCCTGAAAAATAAGAATTAAGTGCTCATGTTTAAAATGAAGCAGTTTTGAAGTATTGCTAAAAACTCAATTTAATTATTATGTAACATTATAAATAGAATTTTGAGATTTAAAAAAAAATTCGTCTTTTCTTGCTCCTTTTTAGAAGATACAATCAAGATAAACTTGAACATGTGAGACATCTGTTCGTATAGAGGTTTGAAAGTCGTTCAGGTGTAACAGCATTTTTCTTTAATCGTTTTTCAAATTTCTGGTCATGTTTCTAAATGCTTTTGATTTTCATCAAGCATATTTAATGTTTTCAATAAAAGAATGTCTAAATTAAAAGTTTATTGTATTTTAATTAGTCGTGTACACTGATTGTAAAAGTTCACCGTTCTGTGGTTTAAATGTCCCTTTAAAATCGGACTTCCTTGAGATTTACGTCTCAGGTACAAGGTAGACCGAATAAATCACTATCTTTTTAAAAAAAATATTTTATGTAATATTATTGATAATTGAGCAGATCCAAGGATATTCTTTTTGAATAAAAATTAAAAAAGGACCGTAGCAAAATTTAGACAAATGACAATTTAAATCTTGTTTTTTGGTCGGGGCAGTTTAATTTCTTGTCTCGGGTACAAGGTAGACCAAATAAATCACTATTTTTTTTCTTATGTATTATTTAGAGTACGAGTTTTTTTTGAGGCGAGAGCGATAGCTCGAGCCGGGCCCCGCCCTGTATCTCGTAAGAAACGAGTATTCTAAATGACTTGTGACATGACCTTTCTAAGGACCTCAATAATTTACATGCGTATTTGGGTGTATACCTCCCAACCAATCAGATGATTTTGCAGAAAGTTGATTTAGTATCCCATTTTAAGCATTCTCAACTGAAATGCCTAGCGAGATAGACGTGCAGGTAGAGATGCATAAATTAATTTGTTTTCCAAAAATTTTTATTTAGATTTGATTGCGCAGGGTTTTTTTTTTCTCTATGCAGCTCTTGCTGATTTTTTGATGACATTTTTTTTCAGTTTAAGCTACGATTTAATGCAAAACATTTTGATATATTATGTGGGACAAATGCTTCGAGATAGTAGATTCAGAGAAATGTCCGACAATGTCCTCCACCGGTCGTCATACACAAAATTGAAATAAGCAGATAAAGGAAAGGGGGGGGGGGGGGTATTTTATTTCACGTTTTCATTAAAATGTAGAGTAACCAAACGGGGATACAACACTCACTGATGCCCCATCCCACCTTTGAGTTTTTTTTTCTTTTTCGTTTTTTTTTGTAAACTTGTATACATACGGTTTTTAATTCATCAACAAGTAACGAAATGACGCACATAGGTGTTGGCTGATTATAAATCTACCCCCACGGAATACGATTTTCCGTTTTTTTTTTTAGTTTTTTTTTTAGGGGGGGGGTTCAAAGTAATAATTTGTGAACTGCCCCACTCCCTCCTTCCTAAAATTTTTGAATCCGACATTAATACCTTTACGTTGTAGAATTTTATTTTTAATTCACCTCAATTTTTGAGTAATTACGAACAGTTCTATGGCGAATTGAACGATTGGCATGTCTGTATACGGATACAGCTTTCCGTCATCGCTAAAAATAAACCGTACATCGTTGATTTTTGCAGATACAGTTTTCTGCTCATTTGCATAAGAAACGCCCACAATAAGTGTTCTGTATCGCAGTTACAGTATGCTTGACTTCAAAGGAAAACTCGCCGGGTCATGTCACAAATTTTATATAATATTATTGATAATTGAGCAGATCCAAGGATATTCTTTTTGAATGAAAATTAAAAAAGGACCGTAGCAAAATTTACACAAATGACAGTTTAAATCTTGGTCGTATACATAAATAATTTGCTTAAAATAATTGACATTAAATAGTTGACATTAAATAGATGATGGGGTTCTTTATTCACAAAATCTCTATAGTCTTTGGAAATAATTTTTTTAACTATCTGTTGGAAATCCGATGGCACTTATCATGTGACTTGTTACGATTGCTAGTAATTTTCGGGTATGATGCATCTGAGAATGACAATTCCATACTTGCCTCGGGCAATTATATAGATTATTGAACAGTTTACAGTTTTTGAGCAGATCCAAGTTTCCAAGTAATAATATAATAAATTTACCTAAACCAAACGTACAGATATCATTCGCGGAGGTGAGCTTTTATATCTTCGATTACCTATGTTTATTTTTAAAATGAATCAATTAAATTTCTGTTCAAGGAAATAATAATCCTGAATATATTATTATCCTGAGTGTATAATCCTGAATTTAGAACCAAATACATATAATTAGAGAGAACTTTTAAACTTTACTCTTTGGTGCAAGGATTTTCACTAAAGTGGTAGAATTTTATGTTTGAATGAAACTTTTTGAGCTTTCTTTTCCTCTATCGTTGTTACAAAATGACACACCATTTCTTCAGAAAGAATAAAGGCTGCACTGAAATGATTTCTTCAGAGCAGTTCGTTTCAATTAAATTGGATATTTACTTTAGTTGTGAAATTTATTTGAATATATAATGAATACACACCAAAAAAAAGTTCTCAATAAATTGTCAACAGGTTTCACAATAATTTTATATTTATTCTTAAATATTTATTAAACATAACATGATTATATAGATTGAATCAGTGAAATTTACAAGGTAATAGAAACAAATCCTGGGGTTTTTTGGGTAAAGGTGTGCTCATAAATCTTAAATTAGAACGAATCCAAATTCACAAAAGTAGAAACATTTGATGTCTCCTATATAAATGTGTGCGTGTACTTTTATTGAAATAAAATGCAACATCATGGAGCAATTGGTTCTAATTGTTGTTTGATTGTTATATTTATGCGCCAGGATCGATAGGTCCGAGGCGTATATTGTTTTTGTCCTGTCTGTCTGTCTGTTTGTTTGTCCCCAAACTTTAACCTTCGCCATAACTTTTGAACCATGAAAGATAGAGACGTCATATTTAGTATGCATACTCCACTAATTAAGCTCTTTCAAATGACACCAAGGTCAATGACCTTGGGACCTTGACTGTGACCTATATGCTAAAAATAGCTTTTTTCGAACTTTGTTGCTGCCGGGCGCATAGTGTTTCACAAACACATCTTGTTTATTTTTGTAATTTTTTTTTTTGGTAACTTCTCTTTAGATACATTTTTGTAAGTGAAGTCAAAATGCAAAAAAAAAATTAAACTATACTATACGTAGTATGAAATAAATTTGTATTATTCTAAAGATAATCAATGTTCTAAAGAAGAGCTTCCATCCCACTTGTACATATATACATGATGAATTTCATCTTTAGATACAGATTATCATTCAAATAAAAACAATCCATCATAATCTTCCATTTTTTATTACTCAGTTTTTAAAAACATATAAGTACATTCAACATTATTTTAATTGTTTGATTCTATTTCGAAAGCAGTGTTTACAGTGCCGTTCATATGATTTTCTCCATTCTTCGTAGCATGTTTTTCCGTAAGTTTGTCTAGGATTCCTAAAACTGTAGATTTTGGCGTGAGGCCAATTCTAAAGAAGCCGAGTTTCCAATTATCTATGTCACGGCAGTCCACCACCGTTGAAATTGCGTTTTCTCTAGAAGGACCGTCACACAAGATGCCGTCACACTGCAACAGTACATGGTTTAATTATAAAGTAGCTTTAATTACGCTTTGTAGTTCCAGAGATAGAAATAATATTTTGATACTGAAGCCTCTCTGACAGGAACCGTTGATTGGCATTTTCAATCAACCACCCTCAAATAAAAATGGTTTATTATCATAATGAATATTTACAGTTGCCGTTTTAAAATCTCATGTAAGATTTGGGGTAAAATAAAATCTACAATGAAAATTAGGAATACAATACAATGTATGAAATGTAAAAATATCTTTTTATATATATCTATATATTTCAATAAAATGAAGAGTCATGTCTTAATTAAATAAAGATTAACATATTTATCCCACAGTTGATTCCTGTATGATTTATTTATTACCATTTTAACTCCAAGTTTTGCCAAAACCTGGAGGTGGTGCGTGGTATCTCCCTCCCCTGTCGGGTTTGCTGACGTCACAGTTACCGGTCCACACTGGTCAATAAGATGACAGGTTATAGTACTATCTGGAATTCGGAGAGCGATGCTATCTGGACGACCAACGTACTTTTCCGATTCTCCAAGACCCAAAGATTTTACCCATTCTCCTGGGGAAAAAGAACCGTTTTCATGCCGTGATATAATGATAAATAACATATATACAATTGATCTTAGCTATGCCTTTTTTTTTTGCAAGCTTAATAATTCTCTTCAGAATTATTTGTGTCAAAATATTTTACCACATTTCTTTTAAAAAGATTAAAATAATTTTCCCCAAATTATTTAGAAAACATGGAAGAAATGAGTTAACCTCTCTTAACAACGACGGACACATTTGATGGCCATATTTCATGTAGGAAGTCCCATAGAAGTGAGCTGAATTCGTGGCGAGCAGCCTCTATTTGTTTGAAGTTGGATATCCATACTGACATCGGTCTATCTTCCGCCTGTTTTTTCGTCTTGTATGCTCTCTGCAAAAAAGGTCATGATTTTGCTGCAAGTTTTAAATCTACTTCAGACATCTGAAATATCTAACCCATTTTACATTAAGAGTGACTGTAAAATAGATAATAGTGACAATCACCATTGTACTAACTCAATGAATTTCAAATATGTCTGTGACGAGTTTCTCTTACGTAATTTTGATGTCAAATATTCCCAATTTCATCATCTTCAGCTCAAGTTTCATAGCATGCACCATTTTTTAATACTTTAAAGCAAAATAAAACTTCATTATTTCTGTATGTGAACAAAAGTAGTACCTCAACAGCTTTAGGTTGATGACAGCAAGCAACTAGAATGTACACTGTATCTGTAGGAATTCCACATATACCACCAGCCTTCAGTTTGTCTATAGAGAGGGAACAATATCCAAGGGTTAACGTGAGCACTATACAAGAATATCTTTTTCTTATTGGATAAATACTCAGTAGTCAAATTATTGAGAGAGAGAGAGAGAGAGAGAGAGAGAGAGAGAGAGAGAGAGATTACCTGCTATTTCTTTTACACCTCTCGCTCTTCTTGATGATGCCCACAGAATCTGGTCATTATACTTTGTTACTTTACTGATTTGTAGAAGAGGTTTTCCAAGAGGTAATACTTCTCTCCCAAAGGACAAATTAAAGGTCGATGATAAGAAAGCGTAAAAAAGGAACAGAGAAAACAAAACTGCAGCCGTCCTCTGGTAAATGAATCCATCAGATACCCCAAGCACTTGCAGAAGAGTTGTTAACATAAAGAGAGCAAAACATGAAGATATACCAATCCAAGTTTTACTGACAGTTATTGACATGCCCATAAACAATACACCTACCAATAGAAAACCGCTTACTCCAACCCCAAAAGATATCCCTGACTCGGTTCCTATAAGGTCCAATGACATTAAACTTCCCCAGACGGACCAAAACGAGGCAAAAGTGAGAAAAACTGAACTTTCGAAAGTCTTTCCTCTAGAAAAACCAACAAAGCCTACAACGAATTGAATGAAACCTCCAAAAATTAATTGCCAAGGCAGAGAAAGCAATAGTGTGTCACGTGGAGCCCAGACAAAAGAAAGTATGCTGATAATATTGGAGAAATAGCCTACATTTTCCAAAGAAGCATATTTAGAAAAACCAAGCATTGAGTCAGACTCAAACACGTTTTTGGAATTCACTACATCCACTTTATTTTCAGCGAAAATTTTTTGCTTACAAAAATTTTGCCATAGTTTAGAAAATCGGTTTTGTCCAACAGGAAACTGAATTTTAAACGAGAAGGACTTCATCAAAACCGCGATATACCCGTACATATAAAGAACAAAACAAATCCAAGTAAAAACTGTTAACGAAACATCGTGATTAAAGGTTAAACTTAACACAAAACCCGAAAGAAACACATATTCTAACGATAGCAAAATTTCTAAGTGTAAGGATACAGCACCTATCGTAAGAAGAATTATAGTCAGTGGGATAGAAATGGCCAGAAAAAGAATTTCCGAATAACCTTTTATAACTGCCATATACATAGACCCACCTAGAGAAACCCAGAACAGACCATCAACAATAGAATACATGGATACGATAATGCTACCTCTTCTTACCCCATTTATTCCATGAAGAAGGAGAAAGAACCCGGATGCTAATGGCCAAATAAAACTAATGGCAGTATCATCTATTATTGTAGTACTATAAAAGACCCATGGGGAAAGTGAAAGAACATTTAAAGCATATCTGATAACTTTTTTATCGTCAAAGTCAGTTTTATTATCTGAGGGGTTCGTTTGTATATCCCCAGCAAAATGTTCTAATGCAGTCCTAACACTGACGTAGGCAGTCAGGAAGGCTAACCAGAGGAACAATAAACTTTGACCTTTAAAGTTTGTCCACGTGTTAATGATAACAGACACTGATATCAAAGACGACGCAAACATGAAAACAACTAGATCCTTCTTGTGGTTATGTATAATCAAACAAACAGAGAAAATAGCAAACAGAAGTATATGAACCCCATGACCCGGAAGTAATGCGTCGCTCTGTGAATACGGTTCGACTGAAACATTTCTTTCGTATAACTTTGGGGTGACCTCTTCTGAAATATTTGAGAGACCAACTGCAGTCCAGGTGGTACACACGATAAGTAGAACAGTGGCTGTGATTGCTGTGTTCCTTGAAGGTCTTGTGAAAACTGTAGAGAAAACATTTTATTTGCAACAGTTTTCAACTCAGAAATCCTATAATTTTTTTTTCTAAAATCATTTTTATTGCCAAAAAGAAATGGAAACAAAAATAAAGAATGTCCATATCCTTCCAGGAAGAAAAAATAAGCAAGCAAACAAACAAAAACCACTGAAAAAGCACTTTTTTAATTTAGTGTGGAAAAATAGCATTCCTAGTCATATGACCAAAAGTTAAGAGACCAAATTCATAATCAAATACTTTATCAAAATTTCAAAAATTGTAATATTGAATTTCAATTTATACATAATGGAAAACAATGCAAAGACTTACCGCACAAAGCCGCAAGAGCAGAAAGTATCAACTCGGCAGTCCCTATAATAAGTGGAGTCAATAGGAATAAGCCTTCTGTTTCAAATGTTAGAAAATTAACCGTTTGTAAAACGAAAAGAATACTGAGCGATATTAATGAACTCGAAATAGCAGAAGACATTATTCTATCTCTATATTAGGTTGGGTTTATAGAATAATGTGCATGAGCTCTATATAATTGCAGATTGTATTATTCATCTTTATTAGGGGCGGAGATTTACATTTTATTTTAACCCACTTGCTATCGGATTCGGGTTTGCTCTTCCTTGTCCAAGAAAGTTAATTCATTGGACAACTAAACATAGCGCTTAGTTAGTAAGATCCATGGAATTCTTAATTTAGAAACGACTTCACATTTCCCTTTAAAAGGTAAACGGGAAGGTATTTCCACATGTTAAAGTTTATTAGTGTTATCATTTGATTTGGCCCTCTGTATCAAAGAAGAAAAGACGGAAAAAAGAACAAATGTATAAGGCAGGCTGTAGACTTAACTCGCTTTAAATTTGTCCACCAAATAATCTCCATGAATTTGAAGACAGCGAGCAGCGGTCGTTCGGAGCCTTTTGCGGCCGTGCTTTACTCGGAGCCCGTTGCTCTAGGATTAATATGTAATATTGTTTCAGCATATGTTGTTGCTGTCGGAAACATAATTCAAGGGAATGAAGATATTTCAGAGCTGGCTGTGATCGTTGCAGGTGAAGTTTCTTTTTTTAAATACTCAGTATTGAACTTATCTCATAGTATTTATTTTTAAATATTGAAGATGAGTTTATTTATCCCATGTTTGGAAAGCTGAAGATTTGTTCTTTAAAATCGATATGTATTTATTACAAACATTTATCAAGAATTCATTTACAAACAGTATTTGTCAAATTTCTCGTTAAATATTATTATAAGAAAACAAGTAATTCATTTAATTTTTTATATTAACGATTCATACATGTATAGTTACGGTAATTGTTAAATTTCCCGTTAAATGCATCTAATTCAAAACTGTTTCAGGCGCCCATTTGATTCTGATTGGTGGATTCCTTCAGTTAACATCCGGAATATTGAGTTTCCGTAGAAATGATCACCTGACAGGAACAGCCCTCACTGTTTTCGCTACACTATGGACATTCCAAGGCTTTGCAAATATTGTTATGAAAAACAGTAGTGATGTTACAAAAACTGCACTACCTGTTCTTGTTGCTTATGGCACTATCGCTTCGTCACTATTCGTGTGTTCCTTGTTTATTAATTTTATCATACCCCCTGTTTTAGTTGCCATGACGTTAACTCTTATATTTGAGTCTGTAGGTCTTTTCTACGATTGGGGTAAGAAAACTGCTGTTGCATTTGAACTTATAATCGTTCTCACGGCTATCTATGCAGTGCTTGTTATAACAACAAAGGGTATAAGTCAGAGATATATCTTACCAGGCTTTGGAAATGCGCCTATAGACCCATTGCTTATAAAAAGAAATGTAAAAGGGTCTAATAACAAGGAAAAACGAAAGAACACTAAATATGCTGAACCAATGGGGATGGGCTACATGGGAAGTATCTTACCAGCCACTGTGGTATGTTTTCTTGGTCTTGGGTACTTCGAGAATATGGAGGTCCCAATCATTGGTATTGTTTGTGGCTCTCTCTTGCAGCTTCTGGCAAGTTATTATTCTTTTCTTCGAGGTGATTTCTTTAACAGTGTTCAGTTCATGTTTCACTTCATATTTTGGACGTCAAAGTCTTGCTTCTTTTATCTTTTGTCATCGAATCAGATGACATCGACTGTAGATTATTACGGTTCTTGGGGAGCAGTGTTGGCTTTGGTATTCATAACAGTGTGTTCTTCCACCCAGCCAATTGTTGTTTTTATATATAATTGTCTTCTAACCTTAACATCTGTGTTATCTGTAGAACACATTCCTCAGTCCATTCAGTATTACACGTTTGGGATTTCTGCCCTTTTGTTATGGATATTCACAGTATACATTTCCACTGCGTTTCTTCTTAATTCTTGCGCTGAGAAGCCTGTTTTATTCGTTGGATCAGAGTTAGTGTCCGAAGAACGTTTATTCTTCTGTTGCAAGAAGATAATAAAAAGGTAAGATTCTTTACGTCACTTATCGTATTTATGACGATTTCCATGCAACTCATTTATTTATATGCCCTGATAAACTCTGCATTATCTGCAGGGATGAAGAAGAGAATGATACTACAGAAGATGAGGATGAAGAAAAAAGAGTTCAGATAATCGACACTCTATTTTTCCTCAGCAATATGGTAGCAGCAATTGCCTTGTCGCCTTTAGAAATAGCCAATCAGAGAGCATCATTGTCGTTTCTGCTGAGTGCTGGTGTTGTTGGAAATGCTGTAAATGCTCGTTACTCCTATGCAAGTGCAAGTTTTTCGCGAACCTTTGTGTGTTTGACTGGAAGTGTGATTTGGTCGGCCTGGTCAGTTTACATATTTCAAGGTATGCAAACAGACTGTTGAATTCTGCATTTTTAATCATCAAATTGACATTGAATATTTAAGTAACATTTAAAAAAAAATACCATCTTCAACATATTTTCAAAATGTCATCTTATCATACATACCCCACAAATTATGTCAAACTGACTCTTTACTTCTAGTGCCGACTGGTGGTATTTTAAAAGCATTTTAAACATATTCTCCGAATTCAACCCCAATTTATCCTAGCATACCCCATCCCGAAGTCTTCTTTCTGTACAATCAGTTGTCTCATTTTTTGTGAACTTTCTTAACTCACACAATCTTTTCTGATTGAAATTTGTCTCTTCATGTCTTTGTTTTTGTGTTTTTATGTGATTAGTCATAGTAATATAGCATCTTCCTCATGTAGTGCAGATTCAAATTTATTCAGATCATGAGCCTGGGGTGCCACAATAGGAAGTTAAACTTTTGCAAAGGAATATTTATGAAAATTCTTTTTTATGTTTCCTCAGGCTGCACAATCTCACCGCAGCTCTTTAAGGACAGCTGATACAAACAAAAAATGGATGCCTGGATTGGCATATATTTTTTTTACCTAATTTCATTGCAAATGATGCAAATAATAAATATCTAGAATATAAAGAAATTGTAAACCTCCTGTGATGTTCAAAATTCTACCCTTCTGAAACCATCCTAATTATTCTATACAAATATTTTTCACTTCAAACTCCATTTTTGCGCAACTTTGTGCAACTTAATCATTTTATTCATTAAAACATGACCAAGTTGTAATTGTCAAAATTTTTGACAGAAGTTTGTATCATCTGTCCTTAATTTTTTTTTCCTGCAACAACAAATCCATGCTCATTTTTATTGATATGGAAAAATTCTTAGATAGTGTAAATTTAAATTTGTTCAAATCAAGATCCTATTGGTGTAACGGGTCACAAAGATTATATATATATACTAAGGTGTGTGTATTGGAAAAATCTCTTCAAGAACACCAAAGCTATTTTTATGGAAGCATTGTCAATTATAGTCAGGTAGTGAAGATTCATGTTTCTTCCATACACACCTCAGGAGGGAAGAGTAAGGGACACAATAGGTCTTCGGAACACAGGTGAGCTTTGTAGTTCATGAGCCTCTTGTCCTTTATCACAAAAAGACAAACAAGATGTTGTGAAGTTAATGCTTACATATGAACTTATTTATATCATCGGATATTAATAATTGTAGTTACAGGGATTGGTGGAGAAAGTGCAGTAGCGATCACCAGTGTGGGCCTGTGTGTCCTCTCCCTGGTAGTGACCTTCAGCATGCCAAGGACGTGGACAGTGCTGGTCGTCTGCCTTCTGATTCACTCTATTTCCATCATCACAAAGGTTTACAATGCGGAAGCTCGATATTATCCACTGGTATCGTCAGTTTTAGTTGGTATGTAGACAGTCTCCGGGCATCAAGGAATGTTATTCAAATGACGGGAAACGCTAAACGTTTTATTTAATTTGCTTATTTTTCATTACATAGGCTTGGCTGGTCTTTATGGATTCATTTTGTACCTCGGAAAAGGGATTTCAAATAAAAGATTGTTTCCTGAGGGCAAACCATTGCTAAAGGTAAATAAATAAGGTAACAGTTTGCATAGAAATAAAGTCATATGTGATTTAACATAACGATTTCTTGCCAATGTCCGCATACCACCATTTCTTTTTCTTTTCTTTTTTGTAAAGTATATATATAAATTGAAAGCTGGATCTGAAATATATATATTTTTTTGAAAAAAATTTTGTAGATGAGAAAACCAAAAATGTCAAAGTTGCCTTGTCAAACATTTCGGTCACGAATTGCAAGTGACATGATTAAAGCTGCTGAAGTCCTTAAATACGGTGACGTCATCGGTGTTCCCACGGACACCGTGTACGCCCTCGCTGGATCATGTACCAAACCTGAATCGATCTCCAAAATATACCATATTAAAGGAAGACCGCCAGAGAAACCAATTTGTCTCTGTATTTCTAATCTTGAACAGCTAAGGGCAGCCAATCCACCCTTTAGGTAATGCAGATCAAGAGAAAACGTCAAATAAAAGAAATTAAAAAAGTAAGACATCGTTATTTTCTTTAACGTTTTTCTTTTTAGTCCCTTGCTGTGGAGATTCATGGACAAATGTTACCCGGGAGGAATCACGTGCGTTGTCAAGAAAGGTGATTGGCTGCAGAATCTGGGAGTTGGGGAGGCAGTAGAATATGTTGGGACAGAAGAAAGTGTGGCCATCCGGGTCCCTGACAGTTCCGTACTGTCCTACTTAGTCAGTCTGACGGGTCCGTTATCTATAACTTCTGCCAACCCTAGCGGGGAGCCGGACAGTACACATCACAGTACAGTTCTCGATACTCTGGGTAAAGAATGATTGATTGATTTTTGTTGAAAATAATCACATATTGATGTTAATTTAAGAACAGACCTAGAACTCGTAATACTATTATGAAGTTTGAAATGGTTAAAATGTTCAGTGGGGTTCATGAACTATGATATTTTAATTAATCAGGTGAAAAATTAGCTGGGGTGGTGTGTGATGATGAGTCAAATGAAACTGTAGCTTCCACTGTGGTCAACTGCATGAAGATTGATGAAGGTAGTTCTAAAGCTTTAAATTTCATACTTAAAGATTTTATAACGCAGAACAAAAAGGCATGATAACACGAAGTAAAAGGGTATGAATAATTACGCAAAAGACAGCGTATGATATTGTGAAATGAAGTGTTATCATGCCCCTCAAAAAAAACATACTTTTTTGAATGCCTAAGATTGCAAATTCAAGAATTTCAACGCAAAAAAGGCTTCAACATGTGTTACATCGCGAAGTAAAAGGTCTAGTAATTCATGGTAAAAATACGTCTTTCAAAAAGACGTAATAACGCAAAAGAAAAATTGATATGAACGCAAATAAAGGCGTTAATATGCTTTCAAAATACGTTATATAAATAGAGAGAAATAGCGTTATTAAATACAAGACACTATGAAAAGGAGTATTAAAATATGCTTTCTAAAAGGTTTTATAAATAACACCCTTTCATTTCGCGTCGTTACCCCATTTACTTTCCTTGATAACGCCATTTTGAAAGGCGTTGAAACACATTTCACATTGCTTTATATTACGTCATTTGATTCGCGGTATTCGCGGTCACCAGTTTGAAACAGGTCTACTTTATAACACCTTTGATTCGCGTTATTGTCCCTTATTGTCCCTTTTTGCTTTGCGTTATATATATTGAAATCTTTCTACTGCTATTTATTTTTTTTCCAATTTGTTCCTAAAACGTTTTAATTGTAATTAGAAAATACTTCAAAATAGACATAACAGAAACTAACACCATATCTGTTTTGTAGGTGTCATTTCTTACTTTCGAGTCGGATGTGTCCCACAAGAGATCGTTGATAAACTGTTTGATGATGTGAAGAAAGAAATCCAAGCGTAGAAGGGGAAATAAAAAACATTATAAGTCTAATAAGTTCGAAACAGTATTATTGAAAATAATTCAGGGCCAATAAATGAATAATAATAAAAAATATATACAGTATTTTTATACTATTTTATTATATCCTCATTATTCTACAATATGGACGACATGCAGTATATAATCTACTTATATTTCCTTAGTTATTTCATCAGAAAAATAAAAGTGAAACACACTAAGTATATTCAAATATCAGCCCTTATATCTGAAATATGCTTGTTCCAAACTTTAAGTAATAGTATCTTCAAATAAAGTAAAGATATCTATACGACTTAAATGAAATACATGTATATGGATAAAACGAACAGTATTCAAGATCAAAGTCCATTTGGAGCAGAGCAAACACGGACCTCTAAAACATCAGAGGTGGGATAAGGTGCCATGGAAGAGTAAACATCCCCTGCAGACCGGTCACACCCGCCGTGTGCTTCTTGTTATGATCGGGAAATAACAAAAAAATCAATGCAGTCAACAATTCAGTGTGTAAATAATTGCCATCTGTTAACTTGTTAAGGTTTTGCCAAAGATCAAAATGCCCAAAAATTATTTTTACAAAAGCTCCAAAACTTTGTAGTTTATAAAGTTAAAACTCTTATACAGTAACATAAATATATCAGTGGTTAACAGATAAAAAGTATCACTTGATAACAACTACTTAAAAAAAAAGATATTTATCGAGAAAAAAATCCTTTTTAAAAAATAAAAATGCATATATTTAAATTCTGTACTGTTTCATCAAAGCCATCAATGCAGAAACATAATGTTTATCAATGAAGGGCAAGTTGGACTTCGATAGCCTATAGAAAGTTGTTTTCCCTGTTTATTTTGTCCAAATGTTAAGATTTGAAACCGAAAGTACATTGCAAATGACGGATCTTGTCCTTCATTGATAAAGTTATATTATTTCTGCAATGATGGTTTTCACTAAAAGTACAGAATTAAGCAGGTGCATGCATTTTTTTTTTTTGGTAAAGATGCATTTTCTTGATACATTCTTCCTCAAAAAAAATATATATATATTTAAATATTTGTTTTCAAGTTATACTTTCTATCTGTTAATCAATTATATATTTATAAACTCTCAAAGTTTTAACTTTATACCTCTCATAGTTTTAGAGCTATTGTAAAAATAATTTTTTGGACATCTTGACCCTTGGCAAAACCTTAATGATCAATTGTATTTGCCGACAAGGTCACTGTATCGACTTCTGTTATTCTTGTTTCAGAAACGTGTGTGTCAATAACTTACCTTGTTTAAAAAAATTTTCATACGGATAGTATTCTTGCGTATTGAATCAGTTCATAGATATAAACTCCGTATGCAGGTGAGGAAGGTATATTGCTCCATATGTACGAACTTGACGACTGAAAAGTTAAAGTCATCGTTTGCCATAAGACTCTGTTGTTAGAATACCATTAACGTCTTTCTTAAGTAGAATATCAAAATATGAAACAGATGTGTCAGACTCTGTGGTATCTTTTATTTCAAGCTCACCGGGATATATCGAATCGTCATAAGAATGGAAATAACCATTGTCAATTGACAATACGTCGTCATTATGATCATATCTAAATGTAGACTTCAAGGCCATAGCGAGTACTCTAGCTCTTCTTTTTACGTATAAGATGTTGGGCAAATTCTCTTCGTATGTATGGCACGCCAAATTCACAAAAATTAGCTAAACCTAGTTTCACAATTGATAAACTAGGTTTATCGACTGTAAACTATAGTTTACAAACCGTAAACTATAGTTAACGATTCGTTAAGTATAGTTTTCATCTGTAAAACTATATTTAACGGTTGTTAACTATAGTTTACGAATGATAATCTAAGTTTATCTGTCTGTAATAAAACGTCAACAATAGATTTTTTTGATAAACATAGATTCACGTCTGTAAACTATAATTTACGATCGCTAACTATACTTAAGAGTTGTAAACCATAGGCCTAGTTTACAAATCGTGAAACTGTATTTCTCAGATAATCTATGTTTTGCGATCGCAAATGATTGTTTTTGGTGTTAAGTATAGTTTACGGTTGTGAAACATAGATTATTGCGTTAACTATGGTTTACAAAAGTAAAATATAGATTAACGTTGTAAACTATAGTTTACAGTCCGTAAACTATAGTTTACAACCGATAAACCTAGTTTATCGACTGTGAAACTTGATTTGATCATTTTTGTGAATTTGGCGTGCTAAACATGGTTTCACAATTGATAAACTAGGTTTATCGACTGTAAACTATAGTTTACAAACCGTGAACTATAGTTTACAATTCGTTAAGTTTTCATCTGTAAATTTAAATATATTTAACGGTTGTTAACTATAGTTTACGAATGATAATCTAAGTTTATCTGTCTATAATAAAACGTTAACAATAGATTATGTTGATAAACATAGATTCACGTCTGTAAACTATAATTTACGATCGCTAACTATACTTAAGAGTTGTAAACCATAGATTACAATCTTGAAACTGTATTTATCAGATAATCTATGTTTTGCAATCGCAAATGATAGTTTTCGGTGTTAAGTATAGTTTACGGTTGTGAAACATAGATTATCGCGTTAACTATAGTTTACAGATGTAAAATATAGATTAACTCGTTAACTATAGTTTACAGTCCGTAAACTATAGTTTACAACCGATAAACCTAGTTTATCGTAGGTTTATCGACTGTGAAACTATGATTTGCTCATTTTTGTGAATTTGGCGTGCCATAGGTATGACTACAAAAATAGGTCTGCTAATAACAGGGTGATATATTGAACTAATAGACTGTTGGAATACTTGTCTCCAAAATCCACATAGATACATGTATTGTCAATCAGAAACTCGAGTATCTTTTTAATATCAATTGCAGAGTACTTGTGTGTATAGTCAGAATGTTTTTAACAAAACAATTTTGCAAATGACTAATGACAAGGTAAGTAATTAAGGTCAGACGACACGTTCCTCAAATTTTTCTTTTGTATCTCTTTATATTATATCAAAAATTTTTCATATTTGTCATTTTCTTCTGATTTCTACATTGTTTTCAAAATGTTTTTAAATATAAGTACACCAAAAATTGTGATATAGGCCATTCATAAGATTACCCATAAGGGTTATATAAGAAATATGACCGTGCAGTATCTTGTCCAAATGCCTGGTAAGGTACCCTGATTTTTTGTGAGGATACTTGTTTGAATACCTTTACTTCAATGACAAATTCTTAAGAAAAATTATATATTTTTGAGGAACGTGTCGTCTGACCTTAAAGAGGTAGAGCCACGAATCATCATATTTGGCCCTGTGTTTTTCACAAAAATCGAGTTTCTATTCATGGCCGGTATTATACGTTAATTATTAGAGGACAACATACTTCTTTTCCTTCCGTAACTCCTTTTGTAAAATAATGCGCTGTAAGGCACGTGCGATGGTTTGAAGATGAGACGGTTTCATAAAAACGTTCAAAAATGCCGATTTTTCGGCAGAATTTCCCAAAATTAAGTGTGGCCACAGTCAAGAACAACTTTCATACTTACCATGTGTATAAATATTGCCGATACGAATCTACACGCTTAATATAATCGTTGTTCGTACGTGTGGCCAATATGAAATATGACTTTACATTTAAATTTTGATGTCGCAAAGATTCAACAGTTTTGTTAAACCTTCAGTAATATTTGGCTTATATAACAATAGTTGTATAAAAATTATACACAATGTATTAAAAAAAATAGTCAGTAGTTCATTTGAAACGATATTTGTGGAGAGGCATGATCTTCGATTTATGTTATCTGAATTCAAAACTCAAAAAACATATACGTTACATTTCTCTTCGTCAGTCTTTGAACATGACGTTAAAAGTAATACATATACGTCAATTGTGACGTCATAAAGACTGTAATTATGTTAGATGGTGCTCTTTCAAATAATTCATTTTTTATCAAGATGAATCACTTTAACTTTACTCGATGATATCATTAAATTATTAACAGAGGTCTATTTATATTATCTCCAATTTCACCCCCTTTCAATCGCCTGTTTTCGTTTTAAAGCTGTACACTATCTTCGTTTTAATTTCTTTAAATTATAGGATACTAGTTAGTACTGTTTTTCTGAAGACAACTCTTAATGCTGCTTTACATGATTACTAGCTTGTAAAAGACTCGGATCTGGATTTTTTTTTCAGAAGGGGGGTTGAAGAGGAATAGAGTTGTTATAACGTACGCTTGCAGAAAGATAAACAGATACAGGGGTGTAGTATCATTTTAAAAGTGGGGGGGTCATCAAACTGGGAACAAATTATGGAATTAGTACCAGAAAGGTTTCGACAATGAAAGGAAAATAAAGCTAAAATCTCCGAACCCGTAAATCCAATTTTGTTTTCGCAATTGAATTTCTATATATTACTACATTAGCCTTTCAATGAAATATTCTAAAATAAAAAGCACAACAATAATTCAGGACTCTCTCTCTCTCTCTCTCTCTCTCTTAGCAAATGCAAAGAATGGACCCTCCGCCCCTTCTGGATCCATCACCGTGAAAACAGGAAATATCATAATCACGTCTGCCCTTTGCAAAATAACATTGGGCTAGCTTGCTGCTAAAATATTACTAACAAAGAAATAATGTACAAAATTGGAGGATTTAGATATTAATATTGTCTGCAATTCCACGAAACAAGATCTAGAACTTGGATGAATATATGACTGTCAAGTTCCTTATAATATTACGAAAGGTAGAGTCAGTACTGTTACATATTATACCCACAATTTACATACCTATATCAGCCGTTCATTTTATTATACTTTTAAACAAAATCTAATGAAATAATTTTTTTTTTGCAGGTGTACAAAAGTAAATTTTCATCCTGCTTCAAAATCAAAAATGTTATTAATGATGTGCGTAGCTTCGCACTGAGGATATCGATGTATATACATACGTATACATGTATATACTGTATACTGATATTTTCATCAATGTTTCAAACAAATATATTTTCATTTGGCAAAAATATAAAATACAGAAATATGTCAGTGTAATGGTGTGTCTTAGAATTCAGTATTTATATAATATTTTCGCAACGCCTTTGCAATGTGCTCTGAATATTCTTGATCCGCGCCTGTTCATCTCTTGGCGTTATGCATTCACTTCATGAACAAAACTTAAGAGGTTTAAATAAAGAGGTTATAGATTTGGAAATTAATTTACAATTTATCAAAAGAAATGCCGTAAAACGTCTTTGACTATGAATCTCGAATAAATTTCCAGTATAGATAGCAATGTACACACCTTAGAGCTTCTTTAGAAGGGATAACACTTGACGATAAAAAACGTGTGAAGGTACGTCGGCAAAATTAAATCCTTCCATATGTACAGCAAGTCTGAGGGATATATGAATAAGTATAATTTTAACCCCAATGTCCATACAAATTACGCATGATAGGCAACAAATATATGTATATACACATGGTAATGTTAAAATAATCCCAAATTCTTAGGTAGGGTTTATTTTAGCAGAATTTCCCCCAAATAATGTACATCTACATCTAATTACCTTCATTTAAATAATGTTAACGTCATACCGTTACAATATACATGTACATGTGTATATATAACGTCAAAAGTCATGACGTTATTCATGTAGATTTCACTTGAAAACAATACCAATTTCAAAGGACTATAAAAAGAAAACTGGAAAAGATATCATTAAAAAATAAATTGTGTTATAACCCACAATATCTTAACTATCATAAAATAAAATTTCATTTATTTTGGTGACAGGGCATATTTTCGCACTTCGTGGCTTTAGTTTCATTTTTATTGAAATAAAATTAAAAAGCCCGGACTTGTATATCAAGTTAAAAATTGGAAAGTTTTAAGGTGTTACGTTTAATGGATATATCTACAAATACATGTATAGATTAAGAAGAATATTTCCAATAAATTCATAACAACCTATTCTGGTCGAAAGTGGTCGAAATACATCGAAATAAACCCCCCCTTAGTGGAAAAGATATAATGGGAATCCGAAGGAAACGGAATGAATTTCTTATCATGAAGTAATGTACATTGTGGTGGGAAAAATATAGGTACTTTCTCGAGATGTCATTTCAAACACTGAATTTTTAGATTGTTGATTGGTTCAAGAATCAAATGTTGATCCAAGTCTACGTTCATTTTTAACTAGCTCGCAGTTGAGATGACCTTATAAATTTTACATTATTTTTCTGTGTTGCATACATAGATAATATATAAATCTCAGTAATTGGAGACTTCTATGAGATTATTATCCGGGTCCCGGAAGTACACAGACCGGATGGGACCCTGTGCTCCTGTTCTGTCAACTGGACCTTCGGTTATCTCGACTTTACAAGCCTGCGCAGATGATGAAAATTATGTACAATATATATTATAGAAAAGAATTAATTTCTTTCATGTCAGAGAATGTAACTGTTATCAATCATAATATTTCCTTTTCAATTTATCAATATGAAACCAATGGTAAGCAAGCTTAAATGAATATACATGTTTCTTTCACCTGCAAGTGTTTGATGACGGAATCTAGATTTTCCCGCGTGATAAAACAAACGTCTGCTGATCCTGGGGTAGGAAGATGAGCTTTGGGTTCAAATTCCTTCCTATGCTCGTGAATATTAATCTTCTGAGAGCCGAAACTTAAAGCTTTTCTGTTTCCCTTTAAATAAAACGATGCAAGAGGGTTATGAGGTTTGATAAGACAAGTCTGTAAATCCAAGAGAGAGACATATAGGGTCGATCAAAGCCAAATCAGAGGAATTGGAATGTTTAACAATGTGTCATACAATTAAAATTTTACCCACTGGCTGTTGGCCAAATTTTAGTTTTAAAAAAAACCCAAATATTTACCTTGAAAGTAGTAACCTCCATTCCCAAAACCTTGGAGTAGAACTCGCATGTTTTGTCTATATCCTTGACTGTTATCACAAAATGATCGATGTTATCTACCTTGAATCCACTGAACTGCCTTAAAAGACCAACGAATTGTTGATTCTATATAAAAAATGAAAGTGATAATAAAAAGACACATATGTATTCATAAAATTTTTCAGATCTATTGCCATCTCCAACATGACCTATACGATACTTCAGATTTATATGAATACTAGAACATGTACAGTATGTTTAGGGGTTGACATGTCGTCGTTTTTCTTGTGTGACTTCTTTAATGGGAAAATGAATACCTGTAATTATTTGTCTTAAAATCTCTAAGTCTTTGTGTCCATTTTTGTCTCGATTTTCTTTAACCGATGCAGAGTCACGGTCACAGTGTAAGATAATGCATAAATTATACATCAAGTTATGTTCTTTGCTGTGAATATAGTAAGCTCACACCATTAAACACCCCTTTGAAAAGAAATATTTCCATAGTAGAAAAAACACAAGGTACGTAGAGCATGACCCTCTGAAGAATAGCAATCACTCTTTCAGAAACATATTCTTTGTATATGTGAAAGAGTATTCGAGTGTACTACTCGACTATAGCTCGATCATATCGACTAGTTTGAATAATCGAAATATTTTTACTTCTGTTACTCTTAAAAATTACCTATCTTATAAGATCTTCTAAATTGATATAGAATTAGGATATATGTAACACATGTATTTGTACTAGGTAAATATATACGTTGTATACGACGGTAGCTTGTTTAAGATATTAAATGTACTCGACTATCGATCGACTAAAACTCTTTATTATTTGACTAGGAAAATTAATTTCACTAGAAAAAAAATCAATTTAATCTCTCGATTTTTCGACTAGGGAAATTTATTTCACTTGAAAAAATTGCCTTAGAAAAATTTACTGCCATTCTCTTCTATCTATATTTTAAAAAATTACATCTTAACATAAGCCCAAGTATGACATATACTTATCATAGATTCATGTTTTGATCTTGACAGTGCTTGTTTGATATGCAAATAGCATATCCAAAAATTGGGTAGACTTTCACACTATCACAATGAATATTTATTTATAACCGTTCCGATTTTCCATACAAATTGAATTAAAAAAGTAAAAAGTGCCCATAAAACAAATCAATACAAAATGATTGTAATTGCGTTACTTTTTAATCAGTGATTAGATTTCATATTTTAAAAAAGCAATATCTTCACTAACCTTTCTGCTGGAAACCTGTAAAGTTCTGAAAAGTGGGAGCATTCGATTCATGACTAGAGTTATTAAACCCGGAAGTAACACTGAAACTCTCGGTCTGGGATATCCAGATTGATAAGAGGTTCTATAATTATACGATTCAGTACAGCCTACAGGTCGTGTTATCATACCCCCCGCTTCAAAAGCGGGAGGGTATATAGTAATAGCTATTTCCGTATATCCGTCATTTCCGTCTGTACGTCCGTCTGCACGTCCGTCCGTCCGTCTGTTACGCGCAAAATGACCCATCTCTTATCCGCAACTCCTCTCATACCACTGAATGAAATTTGATGAAACTTTCACAGAATCTTTATTACATATTGCCATTGTGCACCTCCTATTTTATTTTTTGATCCGACACATATTTTGGGTTTCCCGGCCACAGGAAAACATGGACTTTTTCACCAGTTAAAACCATATGGGAGGCGGGGGGGGGGGGGTATCATTTAGTGAGCTCATCGCTCACAGTACCTCTAGTTTTCATTAGGGACTCAAATTTCCCCCAGTAAAGACCCATCTTAATATTTTTATTAATTTTTATATTTATTGATTGTTATTAATCTATAATAAAGTACCAGTAAATCTTTGAAAAGTCACAAAGTAAATCACAGGTAAAAGCCTACATGTCGTTCCCAAGTCAAGATTTTATGATATGACCTAGGAAGATGATTTTATGGGGATGGGGTTGGGGGGGGGGTTCAAAACATGTTATAAAGAACAACAACAGTAGAGTAGTGTGATTTCAATGGCATGGCAATCGTTGCAATATTCTATCTTTTCCATTTGTTTTGTATAATTATACCCTTTTAAAAGTGGGAGGGTATATAATGTCTATCTATTTCTGAATCCCATGTCCGTCCGTCTGTTACGCTTTGGGGTACCCAGCTCTTATCTTATCCGCAACTCCTCTCATACCACTGAAGGAAATTTAATGAAACTTTCACATATTCTTAATTACATATTGCCATTGTGCACCTCCTATTTTACTTTTTGATCTGTCATATATTTTTGATTTTCCAGAGCAAAACATGGACAGTTTGGACACTGCCATTATATTCATATGTGAGGCGGGGGTATCATTTAGTGAGCTCATTGCTCACAGTACCTCTAGTTTTACTCAAATTGTATTCTAAAATTTCTTGTTTGTATACGATAATTTTTCATTTGTATTTTGATTTTATCCGAGGATTGATATTTCGTTACGAAAGATTAATTTAGCCTGTACCGTTTTGAAAATTAGCAAGATGTGAGAAATTAAATCATTTGATCTTGACTGGTGGAACCTCAGCCAATACGAATACGAATACGAAATACGAATTTTCAGGATTAATTGTGCATATTTTCTTCTCCTTTGTCTCTTGTCATCTTGGACATATTATATTCTCTCGTGCTAGAGTGATATTTTTAATTGACATAAAACATTAAACCTATTCATTGAAAAATCAGAGTAAAATTTATATGTCTAAAAATTGATGTTTTCCTGAAAGTGGCTAAGGATAGATTTTTTTTTTAACAATTTTTTTGTTTTTTGTTTTTTTGTTTTTTTTTGTTTGTTTGTTTTTTTTTTTGCAATCTATGGAATATAATTTTTTCTTTGAATAATAATTAAACAGAGTTTATCACTGCATATTTAATTAAGTAATATCAATAAGATGCACATTTTCATGAATTCTGCTGGGCACATGGAATCTGCAGAAGAAGTGTCCTGAAAAAAAAAATCTAATTCTTCAAGATTTCCCCCCCTCCCCCGAGAAGTACCTTGGCATCCACGCAAATACATGTTGAGGAGCCCAGTTCACCCGAAACATATCTTGGTTGTTTGAACACAACTCTACAAAAAAAAATGACTAAAACTTGATCGATGAAATCCTTCGTAACGAAAAAATTGAACAATCCCTCGGATACAATACTAATGAAAAATTATCGGATACAAATAAGAAATTACAGAATACAAATAAGAAAATATAGAATACAACTAGATGAGATCTCGTTGCGAGCAACGAGTAGGTCTTCCGTCCGATTTCTCGATAAGATGAGATCAATCTGATTAAAATCAGATCTTTATTACGCTCGGAAATGCTGATAGTCGCTGTACAGCGACTATCAGAATTTCGGAGCGTAACAAAGATCTGATTTTAATCAGACTGAGATGAGGTGTGATTTTGACTGAGATATTCGTAAAAAGAGAATTGTATAAAGTTTTCCTTTATTAGATTTTCTTCTTTTGATTCATATCAAATCTTGAACATCTTTTGTTTAATATGGTTTATTAAAAATATTCCACCTTTTTGAGATATAAAGCGTCAAAGATTTAGCTTTCTGGTCCCTTGTTACCCCTTATTACGTAACATACGATCAAAATTTAATGCTATTTTGTTGCAAATCGTAAAGACGAATACCTTTGCTTCAGTAATGTATTACAAAATATTGATCATTAATGAGTTAAAGATGAAAAACTTTTGGCCCCTCTGAGCCCCTAATGTGAGGGGTCAGCCCCTTTTTCTTGATATCAAGTGAAAGGTCTTGTGATTTTAAAGACTTTTGTTTAACACCTATTCAGAGATAATCATTTCTTTTCGTTGTGGAGATATGATGAATGAAAATATTTAGGGGCAAGCCCTACAAGTCCTTATTGGGGCCATTATACAAAAATTAGAAATATGCATATTGTTTAGAACATTATTCTGACCATCTTTTGTTCAATATTGCTTATCAAAATATTCACGCTTTTCTAGATATAAAGCGTCAAATATTTAGCTTTCCAGCCGTTTGTGACCCCTTATTAAGTAACATACGATCAAATTTTTATCATATATTGTCGCAAATTGTTAAGATGAATATCTTTGCTTCAGTAATGTATTATACAGTTATTGACTGGGTATGAGGGCAACATATGATTTGTTGGACCTGAAGGTGAAAATGTTGCCCGAGGCCGCAGGCCAAGGGCAACATTTTCACCTTCAGGTCCAACAAATCATGTGTTGCCAGAATCCCAGTCTATAACTGTTTTGTTATACCCTTCAGTGCTCACTTAAGATTTAATCAATACACACTTTATTATATCCCCCGCTAGAAAAGTGGGAGGGTATATAAAAATGCTTTGTAATCGGAATATTTGTGACGTCACGTTTATTTACACCCGGCTGAAGTCGGGTGCACGGATATTTACACCCGACTTTGTAACCAATCAAAGCTCGTGTTACAAGCTAGATAGGAAATAAACCATCCGTCTGTTACGCTTTGGGGTACCCATCTATTATCCGCGACTCCTCTTATACCACTGAAGGAAATTTACTGAAACTTTCACAAAATCTTTTACATATTGCCATTGTGCACCTCCTATTTTACTTTTTGATCTGACATATATTTTTGATTTTCCAGAGCAAAACATGGACACTGCCATTATATTTATATGGGAGGCGGGGGCGGTATCATTTAGTGAGCTCATTGCTCACAGTACCTCTAGTTAACAATTACTTTATATGGGTCAGTAAATATAAAATAGTTGAGAAAAAAAAATTAATTTTATTTTCATTATATCACAAAAATTATTTATCACAAAACATACTCTTCCCTTCTTCCCTACCTTGCTGGTAGCAACGACTCTTGTAGTACTTAACTTCGGCTATTTCCGTGTCGCCGATATTGAACGATGACTAATTACTTGTGATATAGTAGTGACGTTGCGGTCAAACAATTCTTATGTTGGACCGGCAGGCCGGTCAACAGTGAAATTGTTAGACCGATGTAATAAACATTTCTTTTGTTGGACTTTTTATTAGTAATAAATATAAAGAAAGCTATTTACAAGGGTATAACAATATAAAATATTGATCATTTAAGAGTTAAAAATGAGAGACTTTCGGCCCCTATAAGCCCCTAATTTGAAGGGCTAACCCGCTTTCTTGATAACAAAATGAAAGGTCTTATTATATTGCACATCTTTTATTATATATGTTTTAACAAAATATTAACAGGTAAAAAGATATAAAAGAAAACGTGTCAAATTTTGCGAGATGCTTGTAAGCCCATTTTTTGAGCCCAGGCGAGCGTCGATGCCTTTTTTCCTGGAGAGGTCTAGATGCAAAATGTCACATCTTCAATCCTTCCACTATCTTCACTGAAAATTTCAACTCATTATGTATCTTAAGTCGTTTAGGAGGAGATCTCAGTACAAGCCAACAATCTGAAAATCAGAAAATCTTCCGTATCTCACAACCGGAAGTGACGTCATCAACAACGAAAATTTCCGACAAGGTTCAGATAAATATCTATCAGAACTGAAAGTTTGATGAAAATCAATCGAACCGTTTTTGAGAAATCGCGTGCACAAAATAGGTAAGAAAAATAATAATGATAGGGAAAAAAGAAACCGAACGAAAACAATAAGGTCTTCCGTTTGGGACGAAAGACCTTAAATAAGAAATGATAGTTAACGAGAAATATACAGTGCAAAGAGAAAATATGTAATACAAATTTTAATTTTAAAAAAATTAAAAAAAATATATATTTTTTTAAATATCCAAAGTCTCTTTTTGTCAATACAATAAAAAACTTTAAAACACTTTTCGAAATATTTCAACCGTGTTACCGGCCTTCATCAGTCGTGTTTATTGCATAGCAACTCAACAGCGAACAACGTATTATGACGTCACAATGAACATAAAAATTGAGAGGCAACGTCATGCACATCGTCGCAAACCACGGCCAAGATGTACGATCCTCTCCCATTCTGGCCGTGGTTGAACGAGGAGAGAATTCGTCGTAGCTCATTAAAATTTTGACCAATGCGAGTAAAGCATAGTCGGAAGATGAACTTTATCGCGACCTTTCAATATCCAATCGCAGTAAAGGAAATATTTCTTGTATACTGTTGACGTCAGTTGTTGATTTCAATTGCGATAGAAACAAAACTTGCCACTGACTGAATATGACGTCACAATAGAGAGACGTAAATATTCAATATTACGACACTTTTTGTGATCAAGCAGCCACGGGAAGGAGAGAGCTATATGCGGACTCCGGACCGTGGCTTGAGACGATGCGTCATGCAATAAAATTGCGCCAAAATCATCTGAAAATAT